TTTCTTTCTTTCTTTCTTTCTTTCTTTTTTACTAACCTGGATGTCCCCTTTACTCATCCTCTCAGAACCATGGTGGTAGGGGGCGGAGAGGGTGGGCAGGGCCTTCCTGGGACAGGGCCATAAACATTTTATGGCTCCCTGAAATGTGACACATCAAGTTGACTTCACCTGTCCACCTTCATTCTTCTCTCCCTCTATCAAAAGTCCCTCCTCTCATACCCATGGTGCCCCGACCAGCATGTACTTTGGGGGAGGATTGTACAAAGATCCAAGGGTTCTAAAGTGATGTGGGAAATGAAATTATCAGTGGAGGTCTCCCCAGGGAGATGTGGTAATAGATAATTAATGGAACTGCAGACTGTGAAGGTTACCTTGACCTTGACTGAGTGATAAATATGACTGGAGTTAGGCACTGAGCCTGCTTTTCAGAAAAGCAAACTGCTTTCACCTTTTTCTATTTTTAATCTCATCTCCAAACCCCACTCTGAATAATATTTCTCCTCTTTTATCCTCTCCCTCCCCCCTACTCATCTCCTAACCCGGTCTCCTTGCCAGCAGCCTGTGGGTCCCCAGTGCCACTGTCCCTCAGCGCACTCCCCCCCATGCCTGGCCTCCTGGTCACCGAGCGAGATTTGGCGGAGGGGGGGGGTGTGCAGGGGAAGGATGCAGTTACGAGGGACCTGGGCATAGGGTCACCCAGAAGGGAGGGCCGGGAGGAACCAGTGCCCTGCCTAAACTGAGGGGGTGGTATGGGGTGTGGACTGCTGGACTTTGTGTGGACCTGAATAAGTCCTTAAATTTTTAAAAACAGTCTCGCCATATAGAGAACACTGGAAACTTTAAGTTCTCATTCCCTCGCCTGAGTCCAGAGTGAAACTCCAAACATTAAGAAAGTGTTGCTTCATTTTGACTCGTTTACTAAATTTTCCACTTCATGGGGGGGACGGAGGTAGTGGGCTTGTGGGATCCCTAGAATAACTTTTAATGGAGCAAAGCCTTGCATTATGGCAAGCGCCTAGACCTGAGAGGCATCTGGAGACCTAGGTTCCCATCACAGCCCTGCCACCCACTGGCTGAGCTACTGGGACACCTCGCTGTTCCTCCCTGCCAGTGTTAGGAAAGTGGACACATTATGTAATAAGGTGGACACCCCCCACCCGGAAAGGAGAGGCTGGATGAGCTGTCTATAGCAGTAAGTGATACGAGACTGGGGCTTCTTCACAGTCTGTATCCTCCTGCATGAGTTAATGCTATCAGCCTCTTCACCAAACAAGCCCTCTCCTCCCTTGGTTTCTAAAATATTCCACTGCTCCGGCTTCACTTCTATTTTCCTGTCTCCACTTTGTCTTCCCATTCAATAAGTGAGTGGCCATAACCAGTGCTCGGCCCTCAACTATTTGTTCTTTCTGTACCTGCTCTTTTCCTACAGATTTCATTCCCACTCAGTTTATTACCTTTATTCAAACAACTTCCAAGTTGTTGTTTTTTTCCAGACCTACCTTCATTCCAAAATATTGCTACCTGAATGTCTGGATATTACTGCAAATTAACTTATGGTTCTCAAATTCTGTTAACAAAGGAAGGGCTTTAAGCTTGTTTTAGAAAACATCTTTATGTGAAAAATAGCAAGCAGTAGCTTCCCTCAGAAACCAGATTCCATGCCAATTTGCCTAATTCTTCCAGTGGTACCATCTTTCTTTCAATTACTCAGACCTAAGTCCTTGAGGCTTCTGCCACTCTTTTTCCCCAACATCTGGTCATTAAGTTCTGATGATTTTTAACTAGACCATGCCTATCTAACGTCTAGTCCTTTCTTTCAATTCCCAGTAATAACCTAGGCCAGACCCACATCACCTCATTTCTGAACTTCTGCATCTCCCTTTCAATAGCTGTCCCTGCATTCAGTGCCACCTCACTCATTCATTTACTATGTGAGGTAGGAGAATTCAAACACATGATAAAGACATGATCCCTACTGCCAAGAAGATCACCATATATTGACGACTGTCTATATTGTACAGTAATTTATTTGACATGGAGATCAGTTATCTCTAGTCTTCCCAATATTACTCATTCTTCAAGCTAACCCCATCATTAACAAGTCATTTAGCTTCTTGGAGGTTTATCTACTTCTCTGTGACTACATAATTATAAAACTTCACAACATTTCAGAATTGTATACTTTATGGGTTTTTAACACATTAAGCGCCAAGTCAGTCACCGGTGACTGACACTATACTTTCCATTCAGACCGTGTCAGTCACCGGTGACTGACGATATACAATTTAAAAAATTATATTCTTCTATTAGGAAAACTAATTTCACTTGAATCGCTTTCACACGTTTCTTCTACTGACATTGTCACTGTTATGGGTAAAGAAAAAAATTTTAAACTGCCCTGGAACACGAACCACAGACAACTTACTGAAGAGAAAGCATATTGGTGAAATTGGATATCGCAGGCTAAACGGAAAGGAAGACAAAACAGACTTGGCACTTAACGTGTTAAAAAAACAGTATATAGACATAAGGCAGGATTACTTAGTAGTACAACAAATGACAAAGACAAAGAAAGGACCAAGAAGGGAATAATTACTATCAAGTTGACTCCCTAAACTATCACTTTGGTCATGTTGCTCCTCCACTTAAAAACACTTGCTAGCACCCATTCTTTAGACAATAAACCCCAATAATTAAATCTTCTACAATTTGGTCCAGTGATTCATTCCACAGAAATGTTGTGATCGCCTATGATGCAACCTTGCACCTCTAAAACTCCATTTATCTAAATTCTGAGCAAAATTGATTGCTCAGAGTTACCTGCAATTTTCTTCCCACTTTCTTTTTGCTTCCCTGTTCAATAGCTCGAAAGTTCCCTGACCCTGAAGGCTCAACTCAAACTGTCAATTCTGCTACCAAAGTTCAAGGTGAAATGATCTTTCCCCAACTCTGACTTTCTAATATCAGTTCTTTGACAATGCAAAGTTATACTCTCTCTATTGCTATCATAAATAAATTAAAAATTAAACTGTTGTTGATCTTTCCCCTAATGTCATAATGGTCTGGTACAGTGCTGTCAAGTAGGACTTCCTGTGATGATGGGAAAGTTCTATATATGTGCTGATCAGTGAGTAGCTACTAGCTACACATGGCTATTAAATTCCTGAAATGTGGCCAGTGAGACTGAGGAACCCAATGTTTAATTTAATTTAGTTTAATTTAATTGTTTAAATGTAAGTTAGTCATAAATGGCTACCCTGTTGGACATCTCAGGTCTAGCACAACCTTACCTTTCCCCAGCTCAACCTAACTGACCATTCTCCAGCATTTGCCACTGCTGACCATTCCTTTTCTCAGAACGCTCTCCCATTCCTTAGCTCCCCAGCTATTTTCTCTCCTTTCTCTTCTTCCCTCTCTCTGCTTGGCTCCTGGTCCCCTTTTTGCCTCCTTGAGATAGTTATTCCCCAAGGATGCATCCTAGAATCTCTTTTGTCCTCATTTCATGTGCTCTTCCTAGATGATTCCATTGACTTGATTTTTTAATGGGCTCTATTCACTGACAGCTCTCCCCAAATTAGTTTCCCACCTGACCTCTCCTGAGCTCCATCCCCTTAAAGCCATCCCAATCACCCTCCAGGTGCACTCATTCTTCTTAATTCAGAAAAATATCACATCCTTGGTTAAGGGCTTTCCTGACCTCCCAATCCAGGCATAACAAAAGGATACTCCATCTGCATTGTCACTGCATCCTTCTATCTATCAAGCAGAACTACAGGGAAGAGCCTACAGAGCTTTACTGCTTTAATAACACTACCCATGCACCTCCATCTTTCTGACTAAGGAGGTGGCAAAACCCCTCACTCACCTTCTCTCCAAACCTCAGCACCTACAGCCTAACCACAGGTCTGCATAACAGACCCGTGAGCTCCACATATGGCCCTAATCTCTTCCTAGAAAACTACTTCTAGACTGTTCAAAAGTCACTTCATCAGAAGACTTCCATGATATTCCCAGGAAATAGCAACGCCCACCCCCTATTCTGTTACTGTCTGACCTTCTTACCCTGCTTTATTTTTCATTATAACAATCATCACATAACACAGTATATATTTATGCATTTTTTTGTCCACTAGAATGTTAGCTCCACCGGAGTAGGAACTTTGTTTTGTTCACTGTTGTATCGCTTAAGATTAGAACAGAGCCTTCCACATGGTAGACACTCAACAATACTGAATAAATAAATAAATACATGAATGAAAAAAAGGCTTAATCATTATAATAACCCTAATACCTAGCAAAGAATTTCTTATATGTAGTTCACTGGAACTCCTCTGTTTATTAAATGAATTAATTTAAATTCTCTTGTGGCAAAAAAAACCACACAAAAAACAAAACCAAGTCTTGCTCATCTTTGTACTTTCCTAAACTTAACATTCTGCATGCTTAATAAAAATACACAAAGAACTAATACAGACTAGAATCATGAAATCTGATTTCTAAGCTTAGCTCTACAATATTCCCTGA